TACCAAACCCAAACAAATCAGATATTGATATTCAATTGACATGTGTTTACTTAACAGTATGCATCCTCCTGGAATTTATCATAGAAATTCACCCACTAGGCTTTTTAAAGTACGCTTACATTTTGTGACACTCAGTTGTGCTCAATATTTAGTTCTGTTATGTGCATTATCCTGCTGAATGATCAAATTAAATTCAAACTAGAATTTGAATGTCTGCAAACATTGGCAAGAATCTGCAGCTAAATTTAGATGGAAGATTTTCAGTGTCTGTTGTTTTTCTTGTTCGTTTTAGATGGGTAAATTGTAAAAATGTTTAGGAACCTAAACTGATTTTCTTTTACCCTCTTTGTCTAGGTTTGCAAGGCATGCCAGGGGACTGCGTCTCTCAGGGTGGTCCTATGGGTATGAGTATGGCACAGCCAAGTTACACTCCTCCCCAGATGACCCCACACCCTACTCAGTTAAGACATGGACCCCAAATCCATTCATATTTGTCAAGTCACCCCCATCACCCAGCCATGATGATGCACGGCGGACCCCCTACCCACCCTGGAATGACCATGTCAGCACAGAGCCCCACAATGTTAAATTCTGTAGACCCCAGTGTTGGTGGACAGGTTATGGACATTCATGCCCAATAGTATAAGGGAACTCAAGGGAAAAAAACAAACAAAATATCAAATCTATTTGAAGACTTTTGAACTTTGACCAGATATTGACACTTAAAACGAAATTCCAGACAGCTGTGATTATTTTTTACTTTTGTCATTTTTCATCAACAACAGAGGACCAATGAGAAAAGAACAGAAATGTGAAATCATGGGCTCACTGAAACAATTATGTCCATGTAAAGATCCTCTGAGGGAAAAAAAACAAAAAACAAACAAAAAAGACTCCAAGAGTTATAACTACTGTAGTATAAACATAGGAACTAAGTTAACTTGTACATTTCTGTTGATCACTCCGTTATGTTGCCTCAAATAGTTTTAGAAGAAAAAAAATTCCTTGTTTTCCACACTATGTGTGTTGTTCCCAAAAGAATGACTGTTTTGGTTCAGCAGTGAAGTCACTATCCATGAAAGACTACAGTATATTTCAGACCCGTTTTGGCCAGTCAGAAAAGAATTACCCTGGAGTTGAAGATGAAAAATCTTGCTGGGTCTCTCATCACTCAGAAGACAGTTCCAAGAAGGCCTTGCCATCCCCTGGTTTTGTTCCTTCATAAATGTGTCCTTTAGTTTCAAACAGATCTTTATAGTTTGTGCTTCATAAACCCATTTTGTGGACTCTTCTTCAAAGAGCTTGCAGGTGAAGATTTAAAAGACGAAGCAGGAGCTTCTTCCAGTAGTTCTGAGCCTTGGCTTTGGACAAAACAAAACTAAAAGTTGGGCAGCTTTCCTCAATGAAAGAAGTTACTAATGGTCTTTGCACCAAACCTAGAACTTTATCATGAACTCAAAGCTTGGGAAAAAAGCAAGAGAATACTGTAACAAACTTCGTACAGAGTTCGGTCTATTAATTGTTTCATGTTAGATATTCTATGTGTTTACCTCAATTGAAAAAGAAAAAAAAAAAGAATGTTTTGCTAGTATCAGATCTGCTGTGGAATTGGTATTGTATGTCCATGAATTCTTCCTTTCTCAGCACGTGTTCCTCACTAGAAGAAAATGCTGTTACCTTTAAGCTTTGTCAAAATTTACATTAAAATACTTGTATGAGGACTGTGACGTTATGTTTAAAAAGACGGTGTTAAGTCACAAAATGCGGTAATAAATATTTCATTTTTGATTTTTTGTTAGGCTTTTGAGTTTTTAATCATGATTGGGAAAGATGGCATTTGTTGAGCAAAAATGTCTAAGATGGATTTCTTACTAATGAGTCTGAAGAACGGCTGCTAAAATCAGAGACCAGACACCACAGCAGGCATAGCATAGTCTGATGAGACAACATCTGAATTTGTACATTTCTACTGAACAGACACCAGGTCACAAAATCCAAATGTAGTCTCATCAGATTATACTTTTTGTAGCTGTATTGAGATATATATATATATATATACAGAGAGAGAGAGAGAGAGAAAGGTATGGCTTTAGAATAGCTGTATGTACACACACACACCCTATAACTACAGTGTGTTTAAAGCAGGAATAATTAAAGAATATTTGTAACACAAGGCTGGATTGAGAAGTTTTAAGCAATCAAACCCATCTTTGACTTTAATGGGAGCTTTGCTTCCATAAGGAGTGCAGAATCGGGCCCTAGAAACTGTTTTATTACTTTATGTCACAAAAGCAAAAACGATCAGGTGGATGAATTGGGAAAATGTAAATTTAACTTTTGAAATGCAATTAGATGATCTAGGGCCACTGAGGGGAGGAGAATTTGTTTTAACCAAAATAATACAGACTTCTTGGGCTCTGAAATAACTAAATGAAAGGAAAGTATCCTATGTTCTAACTCTAAGCCATTACAGCAAGAAATTGGACCTTCCTCCTCTGCAGTGAGGGAGTTTTCTCATTACTTCAGTGGTAACAGAATCGGGTCCCAAGAAAAGGGGAAAGATTTGAGTTTCTTATTGATTGCTATTTTGGAGAATAAAAATACCTTAATTATCTTTACTTTCTAGGAAACAACTGTTACTGGTTTATTATTAAAAACTGACTGACAACTTTTAATCTTTGGAATGTTGAAAAAGTCTTAGCTTCCCAGTTAATATTTAATTTCTGAACTGAGTAAATGGACCCACGCTGCTGGCAAAGGAAGGAAGGAGGCAAGTGGAATGGGCGGGAGGATTAATTTAGCAATCGGGTCCTGCTTTGTAGCCGTCTTTTAAGGCATTCCCTGAAATTTAGAGGATGGGAGATTCCACATTTGGCTTTCATTCTTTCTGTCCTGATTAAAAACGCCCCGATCCTTAATTCCTGTATGAAATGCACATCCTGTCCTCCCGATTTCAAAGTCTTTGATTATTTTGATGAGAGAAATAACAAGAATAAGAATCAAAGAGGAGTTGTCTTTGCGTCACAAAAGCTACTTATTGTATCCGATTTGCTGTCATTTCCCGCTCCGATTTGAGGAGGACTATATATATATAAAGATCAACGAGCTGGTTCTTTTCCCTAGTAGATTGTTATTTTTGTAATGAGTTAAATATTTGTAATACTGGTATATTTTCTCGCTGGGCTGTAATCTGCGGGAGCTGTGTTGCTGGAATCCAATGTAAACAGATTGCTCCAATCTGAGGTTTGCTATTTAGTATGGAGGGTTCCGATTTGGGTGTATTTAAGAAATGCTCAGCTGTCAAAAGTAAAAAAAAAACAACAACCGGGAATAGTGTTTTGACAGCGGTATAGTGTGAAAGGAAATACTGTAGTATGAATAAAATTGCTTATGTTCTGAGAAACGAAGGGTAATAGAAAAACACCTCTTGTTTTGCTATATATGTGTGTGGAAACTTGGCATGTAAATTTCCACTTCGCTAAGAGATTCTGGGGAGAGGGCTGCAGTCACCCCAAATTAGGGCTTTTCAGACTGTGCACTGCAAAAGGAGAAGTGGGAAACGATGTCTGTGTCCGTGCCGCCTTTCGGCAGAGTCCTGTCCTGACTTACAAGGAGGAAATGTTAGTGGAAATGCTTTATATATGTCTGGCCCAGAGCTGATTTGCACGGGTGGGGGAAATGTGGCAAATTAATCCAGCAGCTGTCACAAAATGGAACCTGTTTTTTTCAAAGGATCCAGTGAGTGTTCCTGTACAAGTTACAGATCAGCCGTGCACCCCAAGCATTTGACAGGACGAATGAGGGCCCTCACTGCATTGCCTTTAGAAGTGGGAGGATCCCGTAAACATTTGCTTAACTTCACCTTTCATTTTGAGAGGCAATCCAGTGGATCCAGAGGACAAATCCCCAGATCCTGTGGTTTACAGGCGGCTCTCTGCAGGAAGCGTGTGTTTGGCTTGGAAGGGAAGGATTTCACGCGACTTTGCGGTGATATCTCCGCCTCGCAACTCTTCACAATTACGATCCTGGTTGGAATCAATAGCAAATGTTGTTTTTAAACACTTTTTTTTTTAACACGCCTTCGGGGGAGAGGGGGAAACCGCACAGCTCCACAGTATAGCTGAGCAAGCTGCTGTGGAGGTGGAATTCCGATCGGGCTGGGGAAACCCGGCATCTTTGTCCTTGGGGTGGGGCAGGGGGCTGTGCTGAGAATAGAGACTGTTGGGCAAGGCCGATTTTAATATTAATCGTTTTGGTGGAGAGAAAGAGACAGAAGGGAGTTTGCCCCTCTGCGACAGTGATGATGGATGACCCAGCACCGCCAAACAACTCCGCCCCTCCATCCTCACCCAGTGTCAAAGCTACTTTACTTGCAGCTTTAGGAGTAGAATAAACACCCTCGCCCCTTCTAACGCATCGATTTGTGGATCATTATGAATCAATTACTGCTCTCGGTGGTTACTTGGCTGAAATAAAACGGGCTGCGGATGGGGAAAGCGCTAGAAAGAAACGCAGAACAGACCTTATAGTAATATTGCTGCTACTAATAATTAGTATTAATAATAATAATAATTCGGGTTTGGGCACTTTCCAAAGATATCCTCCCCTCCCCCCAGCTGAATTATTTGCTGGATGCGAGCCACTCTGTGTTGTAGCTGCTCAACTTAAAAGAAAGACTCTCAAACGAATGGGTTTTGCATTACACGCAATTACTTCGAGAAGCAGCGACATATTCGCACCGTGCCGCCGCCGTATGTATCTTGTATTTAACTCCTCTAGAGAAACCCACCGGAATATGAGAAATGGGCTAGTCCGTGCGGCCGCACATAGGCCAAGTACGGGGAGTTAGCGCGGCCGAGTGGCATTTTCAGAAGGAGGTTTTAGGGGGGAGGAAAGTGTGTGAAGTCGGGTTTCTTTCTCTGTTCCCATTTGCAGCAGTGTTTGAGGACCTCAAGGTGTTTCTATGGCTACCTTGTGTATGTGGGAGGGTCAGATGTGGGGGTGCCCAAGAGAAAAGGCAGCTCTTGGGTGATCATTTATCACTGTCACCCACATAATGATTCTCTCTGCAGCCTTCTATTGATGAGGATAATTACATTAGCTCAGAGTGACTGATCAATGAAAAACCACCAAACAAAAACTTCTTTACTCTTCTATAATACCAAAAACAGATACAGAAATAAGATAGAAAGCCAGGGCGGGATTTCCCCCTTCCTTTCTCTTTACCAATGGATTTTTTTTTAAACAGACAGCTGAAAGTAGGGAAATAATATTAGATCTATTCCATTTAAAAGGAGGCTACAATTTTGCCTGTGAAAATGTTCCCTTCAAATCTGTTGGCATCAGTCTTTCCCTGGCAAAGTATATCATTAGTTTGACTATGAACTGCTGCTTCTCTGCTGGGGTCCAGGTTCTTGCCCCTTACACTTGTGCTGAGCCTTCTGAAAATGGAGCGTGAGCTTTTGCAGCGACGGGGAGGGAAGAGGGTGCAAATCATTTTCCTTTCAAAACTGCAGTTGTCAGGTTTTCTTTGTTTTTAATCACTTCCCAAAGTAGCTCTGCTAAAGACCGCATGTTGTCCCCGTCAGGCGCTGTTATACTGCTGAAAGTTTGCAGTTCCATTGCGATTTCGCTCTTTCGAGAGTTAAATATCAATATTTTCTCAATTAACGCGAATTTTAATGTTTTTACTTGTGAGTTGTTAAAGGCGCCGTAAATTTTATTACGAAGCCGCTAAGCTTCCGAGCACCGCCAGCAGACAGGTTGAGGGGTTGGGTTTTTTTTTTTTCTTCTCTCCAAAGGGCCTGCATCAGAAAGTCGATCATTTTAAATAAGAAGAAGGCAAACTGATGGGAAGGAAAAAACGGTTAGGGACAGTACCACTTCATGATGCTCTCTCCTTTCCATCTTGTCCTGTGTCTCACATCGTCCTGCGAAAGTGAGAGCATCCTGTTTGCTTAAAATATTCCCAAAGGGCACCAAAAGGGTTACTTAGTTTATTTGGATGAAAACTAGAACATTGTTGCACTTCGCAGCACGTGTTTTGCGTCCTCTTTCCCATCCCCCGCACAACACTGATGGTGTCGAGCTGAACACGCATTTGCTCTGTGTGTGTGTGTGTGTGTGCAATATCCTAGTCGGAGACTGCACTACTCTGTGTGTATATGTAATGTGCATGTTAAATTACTATACAGTGTTTACTATATACAGTGATATATCTTTAACCACACAGCCTGCTAATTATTATGTACTAGTAATGAACTTACATTTTTAAACCAACTTGTAAACACGCCTCAAAGTTAACATTTGAAAGTAAATGCAAGTCTGGAAGAGGCTATTTTGCGTATCTTTTGCAGACCTTTTAAAACAAATATTGCCAAATTTCTTGTGATAAAATCCAGTTTAGGCGCCGGATTCCGATCTCATTTACACAGGGTTAACTCCACCATTGACTTGAGAAGGCGGCTGGGGCCCTGAGCTCACAAATAGCCCTTTATTGTCTAGAGTTGCCCCAAAGGTGTTTAACATTTCTTAAATTAGCTCCTAGAAGAAATAGTGCAAACTTCTTTGCTACGGTGCATGCCAGTTCGAGATCAGAAAAGAGCCTGAGTGGTATGCATTTCTTATGTCTAATATAGTCGAGCTAGCTAAATAATTGCAAGGGGAATGGCTAGAGAGAAAATTGAAACTCTTTCTATATTCCAAATAAAACTACTGCATTCCTAATATTTACCAAGTTGCTATTGTGTAGAAATCCCCACATTGTGCTCCATATACCGGAAGCAAACAACTCCCCTGGCCATCACATACATTCCTCAGATAATCAGTGTCCCAAATCACTTAATCAAGAACCCTAAATTAATAATGGGGGCTCTGAGTTTCAGTGACGTTTTACGTTGTTTATTGAGCCAAGTTCCTGGCGTTACAAACATTCACTCCTCGAAAAGGAGCTGGGGTTGCCACTTGGTCTCGAGTGTCTGGGTTATAAATTCAGCGTGAGGGAGAAAACAAAGGCATTATCTAGTTCTCACCCAACCAGGTTTCAAACTAGGATCTTACTTTGTTGTACAGTTGGATTTGTCTGAGAGGAAGGGGGGGAGGGTGATGGAATCTATGCCGCTGGCCTTTTCCTGCGGATCCGGGTCCCCACCACGGAAACATTTTCAGATCTATGAGCCCCGAGTGGATAAACACCCACAATTACTATGGGACAAGGACGAGTGGCAAAACCTGAATGGAACGCAGCTTTGGCGTTGGGTGAAACTAATGATGTGCGGCTGCTTTACCCTTACAGGGAAGGAGGAGGAGGGGAGCCCTTTCTGATTAATAAGTAGCAGGCTAATGTTGAGGGCTTTTTCTGCCCGATTGCCTTTTTGAATTAGAGCCGATTTCTTCACACTTCAATAGGGCCTGTCTCTTTTAAAATGACTGACAGATTTGTTTCTCCTTTTTTCTCTCCCTGAGACTTAATGATGTAAATTTTCTAATTAGTTAAATCACGTTGCTTAAAGGCCTTAATATTTACCGGGCAAGGAGTGAGAGTCCTGAGTGGATCGCTTAAAATAGCCAAAGAAATAACGTTAGGCTTTTAAAAGAGAGGGTGAAGGGGGGGGGGGGAGCAGGAGGAATTGGGAGGGAGGGGGCGATATAACGTAAAACTAGAGGTAAAGTTCAGCCTGGAGCTTCTTCCTTCCTCCTCCTCTCCTCAAACCCCGCTTTTATTTTTCAATCAGCTAAGATTTAATTAGGAGCCCTCAGGCCGGACGATCTGATATTTTCTCATTAGTTTCCCATCAGTAATCTTGAGTGTTAGATTGGCTTAAAGGTTGTCAACATTTGACCAATTTTATTTAAGGAAAAGAAACCACGCACTATAGCTCCGGGACCTGAGATCTGAAAATAAATCCTGCCCCGATCAGCGGAACTAACAGGCGAAAAAAATGTTGACAATTCATCGTTGTATTTAATAAGTTGCAGTTGCATAATGTATAGTGCGCAGGGCGAGAGACTGCCGCGAGCCGGGCTAAGGTGTAAATACCCTCACGCAAGGGTGTGATAAATACCTGGCGGGTACCTAAGGACAGTGAAGTCAGACAAGGCTGAGTTACAAGAAGTGAAACCCAAGGAGAGGAGCTGTTTAGGGTTTGGAAACTGCAGCTTATTTTGCCTTTTTTGTTTTTTGTTCCAGCGCAATGAAACAAGCCTTGTGGTTAGCGCTCCTTTAGCCCAGACACAACATCAGAGCGCCCCCTGCTGGCCAACTGAACAGAGCGCCTCCGGTCCGCAGCACAGACTTCTCAAGCAAAGCTTGCCAGTACCAGGGAGATTTCCTGTCAGGGCTCAATGTTTAAATATATATGTGTGTGTATATATATATAAGAAAGGACACTCTCTGTTTCCCCCCACGCCTTCCTCTTGGCCTCAAGGGATTATAATATAAACTGTTTAGGAAACTGCTATTTAAAAAAAAAAACTACAAAAACTGCAGATCTAAAAAGGGGGAAACGTTGATAACAAGGATAAATATACCGGTGTAGCTGCTGCGATTTAGTTTGTGTCGATTTTCCTGCACTCGCGGAGAAATGCAAACATCAAAAAATTGATCTTGTCGTCCTGGGTTAACGATGGCGCAGAGAGAAGAAGGGCAGGTAACATTTTGTCCCCCCTGCTATAGAAAAGTTAAACCCAAGATGTTACAGAATACCGAGATAGTACCTGTGCCAGTGAGCATGTGGTTACTACTGAAGTCGAGCTGTCATTCAGGGAATTGCTAAAACTTGCCACCTAGCTTCTTGATATTAAATGTAATTATACACATACACTCCCTCTACAGTCATACCCTGCGTCTGTGTGCCTACACCTACCTATACAGCATTGTGCATAAGCAATCGGTGGGAAGCTAAAAAGACAGTGAAACATGACCAAATAAGTGTCACGTTTTCCCAGTCATTTATATGTAAGCTTACGATTTCTGCTCTTTAAAAACAGCAAAATCAGCTGTCCTAAGAACCTGATGCTATGGCATGCTCGGATTGTTGTTGTTTTCTTATTACGCAATGGCTATTTCGCACATTGTTTATCCTTGCATGCGCGCACACACACGCGTTAGAATAATAAAGCCTAGTCATTTTTTTCTATAGGGGCCGTAATGATCACCTTGAACTAATATCTAAATTATTAGCACCATCTTCTTCTGGGAGAAAACGACCTGGGAATTCAGCGGTAAAGGGGGATCCTCAGGTAACAGCAGAAGCAGCTTTTATGCTCAAAAGCGCTCAGACAGTGGGCAGTTGCTTTCCTGGCAAATTATTCTCCATAACTTCGTGCGTGAGAGCAGACGGTTTTCTTCTAATGTTGGGTTTTTTCAACGTCTCCTTTGGAGGAGCTGCCGGTTCAGTGGGGCGGACTCAATCAGGAGTGGAGCAGGCAGCCCCCGGTGGAAAACAGTGACATGTAACAAAAGCAGAACACCATTTTAAAGCTCCAATAAAATCGTAAATCACTTGTGTTTAAAGAGGCACCAGGGCCACTGTGTAAACTGAGGTACAGTTAAATATTTATAGTTTAAAGGATTATTTTGTCTATTTTAGAAGAAACATCAAGTTCACTTGGTTCAGGGCTCTGTCTACACAGAAATACAGGCACAACAATGCCCTGCAGAAGAGCTGAAGGGTTTGGATCATGGCAGTAGCTCCCCAAATTTATTTTCGTTTTTTTTTAATGTGTGTGTGTGTGTGTGTGTGTGTGTAGAGGGAGGAGGAGGTGGGGGAGAGGAATATATAACTGAACAGCAGAAAACACCTTTCTGGAAACAAAGGCAAGGAGCAGCATTTCAATTGCAAATGCATCAGACAGAGACCAAATAACGGTTGTGGGAAGACACTCATAAAATTAATGTACCTTACTTACAAAACAAAAAAAAAAAAAAAATCAAATGCTTACTACAGTTACCTCGGTGCAGCTTAATAAAAAATTAGCCTTACTGACAGTCTTGTCAACATCTTAAGTAAATTATCATAGCGCTGGTCTTTGGAGAAGAGACCCCACACTTCTTGCTAAAACACCTCCTATCGTTAATCTTAAACCACTTGAAGATTATGATGGAAAGAATGGGATCACTAGCCATTATCATCTCAAATTGCTGTTAAAAAGTCCGCTGTTTATTTTTGCAACCAAAGCAAATGTATCTGGGAAATGCAGAAGAGGGAAGAAAGGAAAACACAAGAAAGGCAGAACAATTGAGGCGAATCCTGTTGCAACCCCGATGATAAACACATGGAAAAGGCTGTTACTGCTCTTTGGATTGCTGGAATTTGGGCAGACGTTAGAAAAATAAACAAAGCGATGGCTCCACATCAGCTCTGTAAATGCAATGATACAGTCAATGGAAGGTAACTCTTTTTCTAAATTAATTTTCCTTTTCCTGAATACTTAAATATTTGCTTACCTCCGCATCGACCAACTGATAAATACCAGAGCTATTTAAAAACTACTGACACCTTCAAGTGCTCATTTTCTTATACAAAATAGGTTCCTTTTTATTTCTGTCTTTTTCAATGTATTGTATGCTTTTATAATAACAATAAAGTCTCTAATAACATTTATTTATGATGATCCTACACACCTGAAAAATCTGCTCCCAATGAAATCTTTTCAAGAGGGATCTATGGTTTTATTGTAGTCCTTCCTGTTACAATCTGATTCCACTTTATATTGCCTTTTTTTTTTACAGCTGGAAAATAAAATATTCTTTTTGTTCAATTAATTCCAGGATTTGGCATAAACGGGGCAATCTGCTGTGTTCCAGTCATTCAACCTGAAATGTTATCCGCGTACCTTTGCACCTTAAGTGAATGCACGGTTCGAGGCGAACGGTGCACGTAGCTGAATACAACCAAAATGCAGATTGTAAAGTCCTTCTTTAAAATGCAACCGTTCACAGGAACGTTTAACAATACGATGTGAAACAATCGACTCCCCTCCCCAAAGACAGACAGAGAGAGAGAGAGAGAGAGAGAGAAAACACTAAAACCTGAGGATGCAAATTAAACTAAACTAAACTCATCTCCATGCTTTGGCGAGTTGAATTTTCCTGTTGTTCCTACGAGGACTCCATTTCGATATCAGTGTAATAAAGAGAGAGGTAGGTGGGTTGATTTGTTTTTTGTTTAAATGGAGACAATATTTTTCTCTTGACGTTAAAAGGATGAATAACATTCGAACGGAAACTTCTGCCTTAAGCTCTGCCCAGGTACTTGTAGCACAGCCAGCCAGCTCCACCGCCTGCTCCCCCGCATTGCCCCAGCAGTGACCTCAGCCCGGAGATGCAGAGAGGTGAGAGGTGACTCTGCGAGCTAGCGCAGACCTGGCCCTTTTAGAGCCATAGCGTGGAACTGGGGCTAATCAGTCCTTTACTGGATTAAAATATAGGGACCAGAAGGGAAGCCCCTTGGTTGCAAAGAACATGCACTGAGAACGAAATAGCAATAAAATGAAGAGAATACTGTCCTGAGCGGAGGGATTTAGCACTAACAAACAGTTTTGTGAAGGCAAACTGTAAAATTATATACGCACTGTACCGCTAGATCAGTTAGACATAGACCTCTGTCTGTGTGTGCGATCATATCTGTCTCTGACACACACTGTCATGAAATAAGGTGATAAAGTTATGAGACAGCGTGGAAGAACTGTAGTCCTATCTGCTGTGCAACTGAGATGTGCACAAGCAGTAGGTTGTGGAACACTATGCGCTGGCGTGTTAAAATAATTGTCTCCATATCTCGAGATCCACTATTTACATTATAATGTACAACTCAGTTACATAAGAAATCCGGAAAAGATTGGCAAATTGGGTACACATTTCCAAGTTATCCATTTCGCTCTAAGGTATGGAAACAGAGAGAGAGAGAGAGAGAGAGAGAGAGTAATAACTCGGAAATATATACATTATACACACTCACATACACACAGATAATGGAACATTTGCAAACTGATCGCTTAAAACAACTGTTCCTTTATTATTTGGGTACCAACGATTTTTAATAACCACGTGGAATCAGAGAAGATGGTCAACTGTCTGGTTAAAGTAGTCTGCTCGAATGCAATTATTTTACTAGGTTAATATGCAATTGCAAGAAGAATGAGCATAGGAATGACCTGGGATGCGAGGGAAAATATGTTCAAAACTAAAGAATGTTGTGGGAATGGGAATATTTGGAGCAGGATAGGGACCTGTCGTAAGAAATAGTTGATTTTGTTGCTGAAGCCAGGTTACAAAGTTTAGGTTTTGTTTTCCAGGGAGTAAAACGTTCATTTTACACAGTAGTAAGCGGCTTCTTGATCAGTGCTGGAATGAATTTCGGGAGTGGCGCGAATACAGCTCTGCGCGAGGAAGAAATGGCTTGCGCGTTGTCGCAGCGATATTTTCCGGAGCAATCAAACAGACCCGCAGCTCAGGTAAGCTGCCCCACGAAACTATTTTTTAACTGAACAAAAGCCTGGGCAAACCACACGTGACGTCAGCGGCCAGCCTCCTCAGCTAGTGAAGGAGAGACGAGCTTATCTCACCGAACCTTTCTTCTGCCCCCTCCGCCTCCCCAAAATGCATAGAGGAGGCAAAGCTCACTCAGCATCCTGGCTCCGTTCTTATGAAGCACCTCTTGGTTGATCCCGCCTGTATTAAAGAGCGGCCTCATAGCCTAGGGGGGTTGTAAACCGCGGAGATGGGAACTACAGAAGCCAGGCTAAGGAGACGCGAGGGAGGCAAGGGTTAAAAGGCGATCTAAGGGACAGGTGTAGCAGAAAGCTCTGCTGCGAAGTGACAGCTGTTACTAAAAATATTTCGCAACTTTGGGGACTGTGGAGCGCGGAAGTTCCTCTAGCCCACAAGCCTTTCCCTCTCTGTGTCTGCAAGGAATCAGAATCCCTCATGAGCTGCATTCATTGTTAAGGGTAGGTCTACTTCTGCTAACACACACATCTGCTCAGGAGACAAAGGCAAGTGTATTTATTCGACCCCCTCCCAGGAGCTCCCAGTGCCTTGCTCGCGCACGCAGACTGGAGTAAACAGCAAGAGACGTCCCAAGTTCAGCGATCAGAACAAGGCTTGATTTATCGTGAGCCCTATTCGCAGGCACTGTAAAGGCTAGTGACCATTATTTCCTAATAAACAATTCCCCTCATCCCGAGCCCTGCTCCCGCGCCGAGTGCAAAAGGCAGTGAGAGACTCACTCCGGCTCTGTCCTGCCTGGAAGGAAGGTTTGACCCCCGGGGCTTTCTAATACTGTAAACTTTGGAAGTCTCACGCTGTTTGAAACGATTATCACCCGCTTTTTCTGTTGTGCAGGCGCCCTGAGGGATGAATGGGTTCCCTGCAGCACCGGACTGGGGGGGGGCTAAGGGATCTCGAAAGGTTAGGTTTGCCTAGCTGCTGCCCAGAGTCTGCCACTCCTTGCAAGGAAGCCTGAGTCTGGGGAGGGACGGAGTGATCAGGAGCTGGGGGCTCTTTGCCAGGGAGGAGGCTGGAGTGGGGTGAACGCATCTGCACGCAGTCATTGCAGGCATGAAACCTTGCGAGCTCTGGGCGAATTCTCCTCGCCTCCTCCCCCTTGTCTTCCTGCGTCTCCTCCGCCTCTGCAGCCAGAGCCAACAAGGGGCCGCGATTCGTTTGGCCGAGTTAGTTAAAATAAATAAACCCACGAAGATTCACTGGTGAGCAATGCCGCATCGACCCGAAGGTTTATTAAGAAGCGAGTCTGCTCCAGTCCCTCTTAAAGGCGAGAGGGCTGCAGCCAAGCAGAAGTCAAGTCACACTTGTTGTTATTCAATTCAAACTCCCTCTTGCCCTGCCCTGTGCCACCCCGGGGAATCTCACACACCAAAGCCATTGGCGATCGCTACCCACCTCTGATCAGCCCTTTGCCACCCGCCGCAGAGCAGAGTGGGGAAGGGAGCTGGCACAGCTAGCCAAAGCAAACACAGCCCTGCTTTAAACTCATTTCCTCAGCGAGCCTACGGGACACGTTGGGAGATGGCATCAAACCCGCTCAGCTTGTTCATCTTCTCCCTCCGCTCCGATCTGAGCAAGGATGCACGAGAGGGCTACCACAAAGTGCTTTTTCTGTCTTGTTGGCGATGGGGATTGTTAACCCGAATAAAAATCCTTTCAGCTGTCTCCTGGTGAAGATGCAATTGGTGTTATTGCCAATCACGCTTAGCAATAATTAGCACGAAAGCATGAAGGATTCAGCTGCCAAGGAATTCTGAATAACCTGTTTGGAACAGGCAACAAAACATTAGGTCCAAACACAAACTAACTGCAAACTTCCAGTAACAGGGCTCTTCCAAGAGGATCAGATTCCAAATAAGATCCTAGCTCCTGGCTCCTCATGCTACCTTTTCTCTCATGTAGTTTACATATCCATTATTATTTTTTCTAGGTCCTGTATTTTCCCCCACAAAGGTCTCTGCAAACTTGAAGTAGCAACTAAGCATCTTCTCCAAACATCTTTACTTGTTTACTCAGCTCTCTCAATTTTAAATACAAAGTAAACAAACTGGAGGGATAATGCAGTCCCAGAGCCAAGCCAGAGTTGCTCTGTTTATGCTCTGAAACTCATCCTTAGGCCCTCTGAATTGGGAAAGTTTAAATGAAGTGTAACTAGAAGAAGGTCACAGGTGACTGACAAGTTCAGGCTACTTATCTCAATTATCAAATAGTTTTATTTCCAAATTGTGTTCAATTTGATTTTCCTGCCTCGCCACAAATTAGCTTAGAAAAAAATCAAATGAAAGCAGACAATTTAAGCCAAATCCTGTAAACCATTATTTATTTGTAAAATCATTTTTGTGATATATACTCCCATTAATGGTTATGCGGTTGCCAAATCTTTCCAAGTGGATTTAGAAATGTAGCCATCAAATTATTTCAAAGGCAGGACTATTAAGGACAAAAATAATTACGAACTTTCAGAAGCATTATAAAAAATAAGTTTCTGAACGTTGTCTCTTTAAATTTCACTTAAATTTTCATTTCATTTAAGCCTTGAGGCACAGTAGAGAGATATTCAGTGTCTAACAAGGAGTTTGGAAAATAATGCTCAGTACCAGAATAGAGCACAATTTCTCTATAAAATATGGATAAGGAATCAATTCATAAACACAAATACCCACTAGAACTGAGTTTTAATATAGCATTTCATATGAAAATTTTTATATGTATTATTTAGGAGATAACAAAAGCTCTTCAAATCAAGGCTTATACAGTCACATCTGGGGTTTTTTTCCCTTCTAATTTTCATTTTTTAGAGCAAATATTAGGAAAAAAACTACACTGCCCCCTGTTACCATATATATTAACTATTACCATCAGCTTTTAATCAGCAACATGTATATTGCCTTAGATTTACAGAATCCATACCATGATGCTTCTTTCAGAGGACAGTAAAATGAGGATACTATCTTTATTCAGTTGTAAGATTTGATGTTAAAAAGCAAAAGCACAAACACACTTGTCTTACCATTTGTTTTAAGTATATTTAAGTACACACACACTGAAACTGAAGTAATGAACTTTAGATGACATCATATGAGCAATCAGAAAAATCAGAACACAGACCTCTCCAAATAAGAAGTGGTTAGAGTGAATTCACCTATATTAGACCCAGACTTATCCCTAACCAAAGGTGTTCTACTTGGGACATTTAGTAAATTTTGCTGTGTAAAGTCCAATCCCTGTCACTGTCAGTACAAATTCTTTAGGCCTTCCAGTCTAAATAAGCTATCTCCAGTAACCAGGGAAAGATTAAAAACCTACTCTCAGGTTTCAGATAGTTTGATATAATTCTTTTGCTAACCCCATTTTTTTTAATAACATGATTACTCTATAATCTAGATGAAAGGATAAATATTGAAGAAGGCTCCTTTGTGAGCCATATTTTTTTTCCAGTGTACACCAACACAGCTTTGTCCTTTGAATGAAAAGGCAGACAAAGTGTTTTCAAAATAGAAACACCTAGGATTATTTTGAAAAACATAAGCAGTTTTTTAAAAATACTCTGGAGTTTTCTGAACAACCCTGATGTACTCACATTCTTATCTCAACTTTTTTTTTTTTTTACAATTGTAAGTGGATAGTCAAGCTAAATTGATGCTTTATGTATATCTTGTCTCAATTTGTAAAACTATTCTCTGGAAGGAGATAATTTGAAAAAAAAAATACAAAAAAGAAGAAACGATACCACTGACAACAATTTACTTAAATTCACAAACCTTGAAATTGATGCATCTCCTATCAATCATAGTCAGAAGATTCAGTAAAACACATCCAACATTTGTATATCAAAAGTGGGACTAAAAAAATCTGTTTTGTTCAATTTAAACATCCTTCACCGTGTTGTAGTTTTATATGCTGATATTGATGTATGCACTTATTACAAGTTAGATTTCTCCTTTCAAACATCCATACGGTATTAACCTCCCAAAATTAAAGTGCATGCCATTCTACTGTACAGATGTTTGTTCTCACTGGCTTACTGACAATGAAATATTTATTAAATAGTAATAAGGCGATATTGACTTCTCTATTCTGTCAATATGAAGATTTGTTGATCTGTGAGGTTAATATTGATGAGGCAGAGTGAGGTAAACATTTGGTCAGGAGGGTAAATAAATTCTGATATTGACATAAATAAAACTTAGTACTAATATGAAAACTAACCTCTTTTGTTTTTATTGTTTACACACACATTAGTGCAACCTATCAGCATGTGAATGCATAGAGCCATGTCGTATGCTTACGCCAATGTCAACACTTGACACTAGTTTTGCAGAACATAGTCCAAAAATGTCTGTCAATGGTATTTAAAATTAAGCTCAAGTGATGCCAAGCACTTGTGGTCTTTAGTCATGCTCTGTGTTCATTTCAAGCAGACAGTGTTAGTTTACAAATGGAGTAGTTCCTTAAAATACTACTGGATGGGCTCTGTTTATGTCCTCAATATTCTTCATATGAAGGAGACTTCTGTTCCTGCTTAAGAATGGCTTTGAAAGAAAAATAGGATGAGCTCTTCTGTCAAAATATTATTTTTGTTTGTTATCTCATCAAAATGTCAGTGGAAGTCTCCCCTCCTCTCTTTACCCTCTGCCACAGAACACAATAGCATACAGGCTTTGAACAATACCAGAAGCCATTTAACTTGATGAGTCTGGCAGAAGGAGCTACTATTTTGTTCATTATTTTCCTCAGATTTCCCTTCATTCTATTTAAGAGAAGCTCAGTGCTGCTTATTGTGGAAGAATCTACTATTCCATCCATCAGGTATGTCTCTCCCAGCTTATATTATTTTAATCTATCATATTTATGTGTTGGAGACAACGTGCGTGACTTGCATCTTGGTTTTCTGGGTAGAGATTAAAGTTATGCAACCTAGTATTTAAGGTGATAATAGAGCTATGGACAGAAAAGCCACGAGCGACAATATTGCCAACCTTCAGGTTTTTGATCACTGCTGATGGCCCTGATCCTGCAATCAGATCTACACAGGCAGAGCCTGGCACGCTTGCAGAACTCCGCTGACAGCAGTGCAGCTCTGCACGGGCACAAGGGTCCGCTCACATGGATCGTACTGCAAGGTGGTGGCCTAACCTATTAAAACAATACTTTAGCAGCCCTTATGAAATGAGATGGTGATCTCAGTCCACTTCACAGTGTAAAGGTGTCCACTCACTCACCGCATCCCACCACAACTGGGAATGGTAGTGGTAGCCTCAGCAGAGAAGTCAAAGCTAGTGGTTCTGAAGATGGCTGTTTATCCTCTCCCCGCTGGTACACCCTCTGAGCTAGAGCAAGGGCATGGGAAAGTTTGCATTGTCACTACCTGTATTGTTCCTGCTCTGGGGATATTAGCAGCCAGGGCAGGCAATCTGTCACTTACTATACATGCACACCTAAATATATTAGAAAAGAATCACAATATAAGATCAGTCAGTTAGCTCTTTAAGACTTGTCCTTCTAGTATTTCTGAATGGTGTGCTTGAGTCTTTTCTTTTCTTTTCTTTTTCTTTTCTTTCTTTTCTTTTCTTCTTCCTCATATTTCAGTTGTCCTCACATCCTTCTTACTAGGAGGGCACTATCTCTGATTCATTTCTCCTGATCCTGCAGAACCAGGCAGGCAGATCAGTCCTCCTTTTCTTTTTGCGAACACAGACTAACACGGCTGCTACTCTGAAATGTGTCCACCAGAGCTCCACTGAAAGTCAGTGGGCTTCTGTGCAGGCACAGGGTTCTGCCCGCATACTTGTCTTTGGAGGGCTGGGGCCCTAAATGATCATCAGCAGTGTTAGGTTCAGCAAGCTGGACTGAACGGGTTCAGGGCCAGAATCTGCTACCTTTCCTCGTCTTGAATAACACCTTATTTCATGAGTAGTCCCACTGATTTCAAACTACTACTCAGCAAGAGTCAGGAAGGCAGAATCTATCCCTCAGTGATTTAGGACTATTCTGGGTGTCTTGTTGCTGCTCCCTGATAGGGTTGGATGTTCTACCCACTTCTGACATTGGGCCACCTATTCCCTGTAGCAGAATCCAAAAAAAGGTTACTCTTAAAATCTGCTGCTTGACGGACACTGGGACATAGTTAATGCAAAGTGGGAATTTCAAAAGCACCTAAGTGATTTAGAAGCACAAGTCCCATTAATTTGCAATCAGTATGGGTGCAAGGGACAGTCAGGGCAGCTATGATTTCAGGATCTGGAATTTGGGCTTCAAAGTCACGTAGGTGCTTTTGACAATCCCATCCATAGCAATGTTAGAAGCGGTACTCTTAGGTGTGTTAAAAGATGTCACCAAATAACTTGGGTACTCCTGGGTAACACAAGTGTACTTGACAGATACTGGCAGACAGCATTAGGATTCCTAGGCTAACTAGATCATTCCAGTGCATTGCCCTGAAAGGCCAGGATATATTTCCTCAGAAGAGTACATTAAGATACCAAACCCATACTTGATCTGTCTGTAGTTTCAGTGCTGTAGGTCTAATACCTGGATTTCTTATGGGGCAAATAATAGCTGAACAATTGCTCTGACAATGGGGTAAGCTGAGTAAGAGAGAAAAGTCAATAATAACTAGAGGGCCTCCCATGTCTAGTTGCACATTTCACAAAATGGATTGCATGTGGAAGAAAGGCAGCAATTGTGTAAACCGGGTATAGATAATTCCCATGCTGTGAAAACCTCTCTACATTAAGAACGCTGGTGGAGTAAAAGGTTACAAGAAAAAGGGTAATAAAAAAAATCAAAAGAAAAGGAAATCAAAATAGGTGCCTTTGCAAGTAAAGAAGCCACACTCTGACATGGTGGTCTTTAATACAAATACATTTGTCTTTCAGACCCTCTGCTCTTGATTAGAATTCTGATGTCACTGGAGGGGTTACAATTTTGTTGAGTTTCTAGATCTCAGTTGTGCTGTCAAGGGGTCATTCTTTCTGGTAATAAGGTAGCTAGTGGCCCCTGGGAGAGAGGGAAAACAATTGACTCTTGAAAGCAGAAACATATACTGAAGTCTAGAGTAGGTTTTTTGGCAGTGTACCAGGTCTTTTCTCATAGCATTTGTCATTGTAGCAATGAAAAAATTGTGGGAGTTCTACAGGCAGTTGAAAAAGGAAAAAAGAACACAACAACAACAAACTAGATGTAATTTATTTTGGAATTGTATGTAAGAGCCGGTTGTTTTTTGTTTGCCACACTGTTGGTTCACTTGTAAAAGAAATGAATCTCATTAAATAGAAATATGTTGCTTATTTTAAAGCAAATGATTATCAAATGACTATACTTCAAAACATTTTTCCTTTAATTTGAAGTGAAGTCATTTGAGCTTGAAACATATGCCTCTGCTAAATGCAGACTGCTCTGTTGCCAAAAAAAGACAACTTCATTCTGAGTCCACTGCTTTCAAAAACTGGTGATTCTGGATGTCGCTGATAGTATGAGTCTTGGCAGTAAGTCTTTACAGAGGTCAGTACTAATGTTTCTTTGATTACCACTAGTTACTTTTGATTCTTTAAGGACAAAACTAGAGTTTTATCTATCATCATACTAAAGCAGAATAAATGAAACATTGCTTTTAGTTGGCTTTTGATGTATTATTCCATGCTGTACAACTGAATAAAACTCACTAGCTGGCAAACAATTCACACTGAGATCTGGATGTAAATATTTTCTAAAGGGTTAAGGTTGGCTTTGGTGCACAAACCAGCCCAGTGGGCAGTATCTGTATCTCTTTATTAGAGTGTGTGTGTGTGTAATTATGTATATATAACTATTGTCACCAAATGTAATTTAAAGTAATCTAATTTAAACTATACTTAAGGGATTTAAAATGGCTTTTCAGATTTATTATTATTATTATTACTGACCCCAATTCTGCAACTGAGAGTGTGCGGGCAAACTGTTGTAGCCACATGCTGTCACTTATAGGGCCTAAATCATGTTTCAACCAAGGATCTCAAAGCACTTCACAAATGTTGCTGATCCGTATAATTATGCTCATTATATTGAAATGGAAACTGAGGCACAGAGAAATTAAATGATTTGTCCAAGAGCACACAGAGAGGTAATTGCAGATGGGGGAACAGAATCCAGATCTACTGCCTCCTGCCAAAGTTCCACTCACTCCCTTTTCCTACATGCCCACGGTCTGCCTTCCTCTAAGGGCTGGGGTGGGGGAGGAGTAATAACCTCATCAAGCAGCCCCATTCTTAGGCCTGGTCTACACTGAGGGCAGGGATCGATCTAAGTTATGCAAAGTCGACATACTTAGACCTACTCACCGCGGTGAGTTGACTGCTGCTACTCCCACGTTGACTCCGCCTGCGCCTCTCGCGGCGGTGGAGTACAGGAGTTGACGGGAGAGCGCTCAGGGGTCGATTTAACGCGTCTAGGCTAGACGCGATAAATCGACCCCTGCTGGATTGATCGTGGCCCACCAATCAGGCAGGTAGTACAGACATACCCTCCCACTGTTACTAGCAATATGTAGACAGCTCATTCAGAGAAGTAAGGAGTCATCTTATTGTCTTGTACTTCCCTAACCAGTCACAATCCTGCCCAGTTATTTTTTTTCCTGTCATGCCTTTGTCCGGGCATACAGAAAATAGAACTAATCATTTTCAGTTCTATATCTTACTAAAAGGTAGCATTAGCCATTTATTGGCCAGAAAGAAACATTATGATGATCATCCAGTCTGGTCTCTTGCATAACCCAGGTAATAGAACCTCACAGCACCGGCCATAGAACCTCACTGTCAAAAAGCGACATTGTTCCCTGCTTTTTCTTGACCATCTTGCTTAAAGGAAGCAAATAAAATAAAAGCTATAGTACAGTTAACAGATTGAGTCTCAGGCCATTTTTGGAGAGCTCTTTTCTGCTTTCTTTTTCCAGTTAAAAATCTACCTCTTATTCTGCTCCTCGCTATTGCTGATTTTCAACCTAAGCATTTTCTTCATGGAAAGAGGTTCCTGGAACTACCAACTTTTTTAATGCAGCTAGTCTGGTATTCAGTGAATGCATCAGTCTGGACAGCAATATTGTCTGCTTCTTCCCAGCATTATTCCCAAAGGTGATCTCTGGATGTTGGTTTGTCACCTGATGAAACCTAGATACACCATGCTCCACAAAGGGACTTAGGTTTTGTGATGCTGAGCATCACAGTGCCTTACTTTCAGGTGTCTAGAAAATGATTGGAACAACGCTGTGATCCACAAACCCTGACTTTGGCACGGAGGCTCCCTACACAGTGAATGGGAGAGATGGGTTCCTGAGAATGAGATCCACAAAAACTAGAATGCTAGGCAGGGTGTCGCCTAAACTAGCCAATGGGAGATGCCAATGAGAGGAAGTGCCTTTCTCTGCTTGCGATCCACAGCCAAGGATACCTCCTGGAGTCAGTAGTTTCTTGTGAGAATGAATTATGCATCTGTCTCATTCCACACAAAAGCGGGTGGCAGGGTGGGGGAGGAAGAGGAAGTGGTGGTGCCCATCTTATCACTTTTAACATAGTGGTTAGAACACTCACCTGGGATGTGGCGGATTCAGGTTCAATTCCTCCCCACCTGATGGAGAGAAAGGATTTGAACAGGGCGTTTCCCACCTCTCAGGAGAGAGCTGTAACCAGTGGGCTAAAAGTTATAAAGTGGACACACCAACCCCATCATCTCTTTCTCCTTGGCCAGATTCTGAATGGAACCTGATCCAGCAGGCATGCTCAGAGGCCAGCTACTGGATCAGGCCCCAAGGGTAAGACAGGCCTCTTAACCTCTTCCACCTCTTTTCAACTGGTTCATGGATTACACCGAGGCTTAGGTGGGAGCTAAACGTTCAGATGCCTAGAGTAAAGCAGCAGTGCACATGCCCAGAGACAGAAACTTAGGCACCTCAAGAACTTTTACAGAGAAATCTTGGGCACTTTTAGGGTATGTCTACACTACAAAATTAAGTCGAATTTATAGAAGTCGAATTTTTAAAAAGCGATTCTATACAGTCGATTGTGTGTATCCCCACTTAAGACCATTAAGTCGGCAGAGTGTGTCCACAGTACCGAGGCTAGCATTGACTTCCGGAGTGTTGCACTGTGGGTAGCTATCCCACAATTCCTGCAGTCTCTGCCGCCTATTGGCATTCTGGGTTGAGATCCCAATGTCTCATGGGGCAAAAAACATTGTCACGGGTGGTTCTGGGTACATGTCGTCAGGCCCCCATTCCCTCCCTCCCTCCGTGAAAGCAGTGGCAGACAATCGTTTTGCACCTTTTTTCATGGGTTATTCTTGCAGACGCCATACCACGGCAAGCATGGAGCCCGCTCAGCTCACCGTCACCGTACGTCTCCTGGGTGCTGGCAGACGTGGGACTGCATTGCTACACAGCAGCAGCTCATTGCCTTGTGGCAGGAGATAGTGCAGTACGACGAGTAGCCGTCCTTGTCGTTTCCTGGGTGCTCTTGGCCGGCCTTGGTCAGGTCTGCCGGGGCGCCTGGGCAGAGATGGGTGCTCCTGGCAGACCTCGGTAAGGGAGATTAGTCTTTAAAAAGAGACATTTTAGAGAACAATGGGTAGACTCTTTCACGGTGAACCAAGCTGTTAACATTACATAGCATCTGTATTTTCTTTACAAGGTCGCATTTTGCCTCTTATATCGAGGGCCTGCCGGTATGGTGTGAGAGACCACACACGCAGGGCCGGCGGGCAACAGAATTTGGCTTGCAGGCAGCCATGGTAAGCCACAGTCTTTTGGCTTCTTTAACCTTCCTAACATGTGGGAATGGTTTCAAACAGCAGCACCCTCATTTCACATACCAAGCACCCGTTGGGTTGGCCCTTTAAAATGCATTGGCCATTTAAAAGGAGGGGCTGAGGTTTTCGGGTTAACGTGCAGCACAAACCCAACTAACCCTCCTCCCCCCCCACCCCACACACCCAATTCTCTGGGATGATCGCTTCACCCCTCCCCCCACCGCATGGCTATGCGGGGGATGATTTCTGTTCAGCCACAGTGGGGATGATTTCTGTTCAGCCACAGCCAAACAGCCCAGCAGGAGGATTTCCGCTCCATCCCCGGACACGTTAACATACTTTTCCAGTAGCTGTACTGGCCGCGAATGCATCCCAAGTCTTCAGGGCAAATTAATCATTAAACTTGCTTGCTTTTAAACCATGTATTATATTTACAAAGGTACACTCACCAGAGCTGCCTTCTCCGCCTTCAAGGTCTGGGAGCCCGGGTTGGGAGGCTTGGAAGGGTATTGGATCCAAGGTGATAAACAGTTCCGGGCTGTCGGGGAGAATGGTTTCTCCGCTTGCCTGGTGTGTGCTATCATCTTCCTCATCCCCAAAATCCTCATCCCTGTTGTGTGAGACTCCCCACTTGCAGGAGTTCATGTACAGGGGTGGGGCAGTGGTAGGGGCACCCCCTAAAATTGTATGCAGCTCATCATAGAAGCGGCATGTCTGGAGCTCTGACCCCAAGTGGGCATTTGCCTCTTGGGTTTTTTGGTAGGCTTGCCTAAGCTCCTTAAGTTTCACTCGGCACTGCTGCAGGTCCCTGTGATAGCCTCTCCTTCATGCCCTTGGAGATTTTTTCAAATATTTTGGCATTTCTTCTTTTGGAACGGAGTTCTGATAGCACGGATTTGTCTCCCCATACAGTGATCAGATCCAGTACCTCCCGTTTGGTCCATGCTGGAGCTCTTTTGCAATCCTGGGACTCCATGGTCACCTGTGCTGAGAGCTCTGCATGGTCACCTCTGCTGATGAGCTCACCACACTGGCCAAACAGGAAATGAAATTCAAAAGTTCGCGGGGCTTTTCCAGTCTACCTGGCCAGTGCACCTGAGTTGAGAGTGCTGTCCAGAGTGGTCACAATGGAGCAATCTGGGATAGCTCCCAGAGGCCAATACCGTCAAATTGCATCCACACTATCCCAAATTCAACCCTGTGAGGTCAATTTCAGCGCTAATCCACTCATTGGGGAGGAGTACAGAAATTGGTTTTAAGAGCCCTTAAAGTCAGAAAAAATGGCTTCGTAGTGTGGACGGATGCAGGGCTAAACCGATCTAACGCTGCTAAATCTGACCTAAACTCATAGTGTAGACCAGGGCTTAGTTTAAGGCAGGGGATTTTGTGGATCACAGTGGTGCCTAAACTGGGATTTAGGTACCTAAATGGATATGGGCTTATGTAACTGGTTTTATTCAGCACATCGAGAGAGTTCTTTTGATTCTATAGGACGCTTGGGTAATTTTTCCACCATCCCATCTGACAGGTCTCACTGGTATGGTACGGACTTTGCTGAGTCCCCAGTTTTTATACATTTGCTCTGACGATTTCTGAATCAGAATTATTTTCCTCATCAGAATGAAGTTAACATGTTATTCCAAATCCTGCAAAGAACTGTTTAAACAACATTTCAGCCACCTTGATGACTTCTTGGTCAGTGACAGGGTGGACCTGATGTTCTTCACTAAAATAATTTATAGTAATCCTTTAATAAATAATAATACTTTGCACTTCTAACTCTTCCATTCACTTTACAGATATTATTGATGTAAACCACATTACTTGCCCCATGTAATAGACAGAGAAAACAACCCCGCCCTTGCCCCCACCATATCTGGAATCCAGTCAGGAACTGATTTGCCCAAGGTCACTAAACAAGTCTGTGGTAGGACAAAGAACAGATCACAGCACTCCCAATACTTAGTCCTGCACATTAAACACCAGACCAAACCTCCTACCTCCACAGTCAGGATATCATTATCTAGGTGCCAACATAAGTGGTGCTGCATCCTTGCCACTGGCACCTTGTTCTAGTCTTTTGAGATGATATCCTCAGCTGGGGCAAACTGGTGTAGTTCCACTGATGAAGATTTCAGCTGAGGAGCTGGTCTCTGAGCCTTATCCGTTGAAATTTCCCATTACCAGTACCACATTCCTCATGAGACCTATTGATTCTTGTTGCATCCATTAAGCTTTTGCAGTGACACTAGCTGAAGCAACTATGTCACAAGAACATCTTTCCCCCTAGGTTTCTATTTAATAATGACTGGCAGGGAAGGGTTTTTATACTGGGCTTCCTGGAGTTCTATAACCCAGGGTACTGGATTGTACCACCAACTTTCGGAGCAGGAACATTATCTTCAGGTCTTTTATTTTAGAGTGCTTATGGCCATAGAAGCTAAAGGCTTACTTACAATTTTAAAAAATAATTATCCCATAAACCCTTGCACAGTGTTCTGCCATCAGGAACAACAAACTGACAGACAATTAAAACAAAATACTGAAGTCAGACATAAACTAAAGCAGAGAATAACATCTTCGACCGTGAGACAAAGCTCTGGCAGATTGTCAAGGGGATTTAATTCTAAAGCAGGGCATTCAATGGAGCTACTCCAGGAACTGATAGCAAGAGCCTCCCGGCTCATCTTAACCTCCACAATGGGTCATAGGGTAGAATAGTCTCTCAAAACAGCTGGGTCCCAAACCATTCAGATCATTACCAACACCTTGAATTGCATCCAGAAATTAACAGGAAGCCAATGCAGAGGCTTGAGCAATGGTGTTCTGTGCACATGGTGCTCATCTCACTCACAAAGCAGACAGCTGTATTTTGCATTATCTGCAGCTTATGGGTAGACATAATGTACCAAAGTCATTCCTGTTGCAATTCCACTAGAGTGGGATAACACTAGGGACAAGTTTGGCTTATTAGGTGACTGGGGTCAGGTGGTGGGGAGAAAGAAGAGAGAGAGAACTACTTCCAGCATTGTTACATTAATATGAGCAATTCTTTATCCATGGCTTATAGACAGTCTTTAAGAACATTTTCTGGGGGGAAGGGAGTGAAAAGGGATGGAAAATCACTCCACCAGGATCCATGTCGAGAAGGGACTCTTTGTATGTGGATCTCCCCCGTTGCAATTGGCTGTGTAAACCTCCTGTCTGGCACCCTTCCCCTCTATCCTGAATCCCTCTACCCCTCCACAAGCCTGGGAATTTACACATGGTCCAGTGTCCAGCTGGGGAGAAATTTGCATTTCCACCACACATGTACCCACTTTCAGTCTCAGGGGCCAATGGTATATCTGCTGAAAAATTAATGGAGCCTGAGGCAGTGTGCTCAGGGGTTGGTGGGAAGGAACAAGTCCTCCAGCTGATTCCCCCATTATCCACATATAATTCATTCCAAACCCTCTTCATCTTCCTTCAACATCAAAGGGAGGCAGCTCTACCTCTCCTGTGAAAGAATTCTAAGGAAACCTCCCTCCCTCCACCTGTCAGGAAGGGCCCTATCCAAGAGTTTTCCCATAGGGGAGGATAACTCCTCCTCACCCCTTGATGAACCATTGACATTCTAATTCTCCCATGACTATGCTAAAGAGAAAATAAATTGGTCTGATGTGCTGTAATTTTCATACCCACTAGACCAATTATCTCCCAGGGCCTCAGAAATTCAAGAGCTATTTTAGAGTTTCAGAGCCAGTTTGAACGATCAGCTTTCTTCAACAGAAGTAATGATGTACGTGACCTGTTGGTTGGTCAATGGCCAATAGTTCCTTTCTGAACATCAGAGAAGTTAACTATGATATAAAAGTACTCTCTGTATACACCTAAGATAGTCCTGTTCTAATCTTTATAACACTAGCTCTTGGGTCCAGAGGAGAGTTATCTCAAATGATGAGTAAGTGCTGTTGTCTAAGCCTGTTACGGTTTTATTTGACATTTTACATTATCACAAATGTGTGGTGTTAGCCATTCTACATTTCCTATAGTGATTTCATGAATGGGAATGGGGATTGTAATTGTTAATATGAAGACACAGTGCAAGTCTTTATGCAATAGACCGTAGTTCGGCACTGGCATAAATGGGTATAACTCTCAGTGAAGTCACTCACCTCAGCGCTGAATTTGGCCTAATATGTAAACTTTACAAGATATTCTGTCACAGATAGTCTCTATCAATGGCTAATGCACAAGAAGTATTTAGATCTATTTGAAATGAGTAATACTAATAGTTTCAAAACAGTATAGGCCTGTAGGCCAGGCGCATGCTTCCGCTGCTACTGACATTAATAACCTAGACTGCCAGTGGATCTTCTGATGCTGGTGCCAATGTTTATGCCCATGTAGGGTGACCAGACAGCAAATGTGAAAAATTGGGACGGGGGTGGGGAGTAATAGTAATATTAGAAAAAGACCCAAAAATCGGGACTGTCCCTATAAAATCAGGACATCTGGTTGCCCTATGCTCATGAGAGATGGGACAGTTGCTTGATTTCAATCTTCAAATGCCAATGTGAAAATATGTAATAGAGTATGCCCATAATAAAGAACTGTGATGAGCAGATAATAAGAGGTGCTGTGCGAGTAATAAGAGAGCTAGTGATCTGAGCAGAGGACTGTGAATGAGGGTTTAGTTCTTGCTTTGCCACTGACACACTGAGTGACCTTGGGTAAATCATTAGCGTGCAATTGCAGAAATCATTTGTTAAATGGCACTAATCCTTACATACCTCACCGGGTTCTTATGAAGCTTAATTCATTAATGTTCATAAAGCGCACTGAGATCTTCAGACAAAAGATGCTATGTAGATGCAAACCAGCATAATTAATTAACCATTAATTGTCTGTGATATGGCAATCCTGAAGGGGACATCTTAAAAAGAAATAAACTTCTGTATTTTATCTATGATGCTGGTTCCCAAAACACTCTAAGGAAAACTGAGTAAGATAAGAATGGATCTCAAATATTCATATATATATATATATATAGAGAGAGAGAAATTATCCTCAGCATGATTTTATATGCTCTGTTATTTCAGGGGGAGGGGAAGATGGAAAGGGACTAAATGGATGTCTGACATTGCAGAAAAGCCTGCTCATGCCTCTTACTCACTGGGAAAAATTCATGAAGAATAGTTCATCAGCATGAAAATTTCACCTCTGCAATTCAGCCAAGGTCACTGAGACCTTTTGTAGTGTGCTGAGAAAATCGGCTCACACAAATTAATGTTGCTCGAGGGAAGCATTAGTTTATGAGAAAAAAGGTCTAAAATGTAGGTAAAGAAAATAATGTGTATGTTACATTGTGGGGGCCCAATCCTGTATCACTGAAATCATTGACAAAACTCCCATTGACTGCAGGATCAGAGCATTGGTCAGATCCCTCCTCCTTTTCTACTTCTTACTCCTTCCAACCCCTGTCCTTGGTCAGGCACACTCTCCCCCTGCAAACACAGCGGGTTTCTTGAGGCAATACTCAGTCTTATGAATGAAATTACTAATTCATATAATTTCACTTTTGTTAAATCTAAGCAAACCTTCAAGATACACACGGTATAAGGAACGGCAAAAACGTAACATTCACTTTGCATTAATGTATCTGAAGCAACAGAAGTTGGAGCCCGGAAGAAGTCTATATTTTCAGGATGGCTGCTCTGGCACCCAAGAATCTCCCCAGTGTATTTTTGTATACTTTCATAATCCCCTGTCCTGACTTGATTGTCTAAAGTGCTACAATTCCTTTCTCATAGACATTTCATATCACATTTCCAGAAGTAAGTAGGGACTGGTGAATCTTGATTCAGCTTAGTAGCAAGAATCTTTATAGTGACTCTTCTATTCTGCCGTAGTTTTTTTTCCTCCAGATGTTCAACTGCCTTTGAGAGTACTCAAGGAAACACAGGAACGCTGTGTTCCAACACTTTATCAGTTTAATTGAAAAAAAAAATAACATGCAATGTACAGTCAGGGGCTCTTTAAAGAACTCCCTAGCAACTTCATGGATAAATACTCTGCTCTTGCTCACTAAATGATATAAAATCACGTTGCTAAGTGAGTTTTCTTTTTAAAAACTTGTACATGAACTTAATGCTCTTGAGAATGAGGATGTTGGAGCATTGCTCTGAGGCAGGCATAAAATATGTGTAACAGACACCCTAGAGAACAGAACGTGGTACCTTCAGCAGCACAAGCCCTGGCTCTGAATACTTGAGCTAAAGGTCCTTGTGCTGATTGGAATTAGTCACTAGCAGGAACATAATTATCTTATGGTATAACTGTTCATGTTATTGAGCTATTCCTAAGCATCTGAGGTCCATGGCAATATAAGTCCCATCTAATGTGTCCTTTTGTGCTGTTACTTGACATGTACATGTATGTAGGCACAGACTTGTTATACAGTCATTGTGGAAATTTACCTACATTTTTATACCAGTGCTTCCCGTGCTGCTGCCATTGTCATTTCATCCTTGCTTGAGTAGTGCAGAACTGTGCTGGTAAATATCATCCAGCAAGGAGAGAAGTAAATTTGATGGATGTAGTACTCTTTTCTTTAGTGAGCTAGGCTGAAAAGTTAAACATTCCTTCTCATTTATCACACAGTCTGCTGGTGCTTATTGGCAATAGGCTCACTCATCCTTTTAAATAGCTTTCTTTTTCTGTGGGGAGCAATCTCTGTGTGAGTCCAGCAGAATTCTTGAAACCAGGTTCCCATCTGCTGTTTTTGAACCTTGAAGTTTCACCAGGTATTAAGTTGGTTCAGCAGTCTTTGAACTTGATCCTTCAAAGTACAACCCTAATGCTAGGGCTGGGTCTTGATACAAGGGACTAAGATGGAGTCAGGCCAATGGGAGGTAGGGTGCATACAACTCTGCACCTTGCAGGACAGCTTTTCCCATGAGGAGCAGCCTCCCTCCAAGCTCTTTCTCTTGGAAGTTGGAATACTGAGTGATGAAGGAGTTGACAGAAAGGGGCACTGAACCTGGAGGCGGGAGGAAATATTCCATTCCCACTTCCTGCTACCAGCCAGCCTCCACATGGTAGGGCAGAATGTCACTCTAGAACAAGGCAGGGAATTGGAAGAAGGGCATCTGATTGGCTCTGGGCCAGTCAGCTGGTACAGGGGCAGGGCTAAAGAGAACACATGCTGAGAAGCCTATGGCTGTTTGTTACTGCTGTTGCAGTAGAGAATGGGCTCAGACACAGCCTGGATTTAGGGTAGAAGCTGGAGGATTGGCCTGGGGAGCAAGCTGGGGCATGACCTAGATCCAGGGTAAGAATCCTGAGCAGCATAGTAACCCTACGGGTCAGTGCTGCAGAGCCCAGGACACAGAACTCAGAGCTTGTCACGTGCCCACACATGAGTGACCAGCATGAGGGTTGGAAGGTACCCTGATTGGGACTGAGAAACTGGGCTTGTGGGCTGTTTGGACTCTTATTTGGTTTAGAGAGCAGTTAGGCATTGGGGACTGGGTAATTTGTACTATTGTGGTGTGTGTTTGTGTACATGTGACCACATATGCATCCCGCCACCCCATGAATTGTCTCTGATACTACCTGATGGTTTGTTTCTGCTCAGAAAAATAGTGTTTGATTGTTGAGTGCAGTATTTCTTCCTCAAGTGCTTGGGAAAGAAACAAGTGGTGTTTTCTCAGGCATGTAGCTTGGGATTTGGGAACCCCTTAACTAACCCCAGAGAGCCCCTGCCCAATTAATAGAATTGCCTTCTCCTTTGGGGTCATGGTTATGTGGTGACTGCTTACAACCGCCAATTGAATGAGTGGACAGAACATTACAAGCCAGATTCTCATGTACATTAAGGGCCCTTTACATTGCCAGAGTGATCTTAAATGCCTCAGTGTAAATAAGAATCTGGTCTTAAATATTTGTCACAAGTATTTCGTCACATTATATTTATACCACCTTATGTGCTACATCTACCAGACAGGCATTAGCAAGCAGAAAGTCATGTCCAAAAATTCATTACTCCACAATATTCACACAGTGTATTCCTTTTCTAAAATAGTTTTTCACATAAGGGGTTAATGTTGTTTGATTGTCAAAATAGGTAGAATTAAATAAGCCCCAAATCAAATGGTGGTCTGACACTGTTCTCAGTTTAGAACTCCAGGGCTAATATTCTGGGGTCTCTGGATATTACTCAGTAAAGTTTAAATGCTGTTACTTTTATTGCCTTTCTCTGTGAGCTATTCCACCCTGTTAAGTAGCATGGTCAGAATATAACAAGAGTAATCATAGAAATGTAGGACTGGAAGGGACCTCAATAGGTCATTGTGACATACTGGGGTACAATCTAGACTAGTGGGGGGGCTGTGTTACCCCTGCCCTGCAAACTTGGGTGCCTTACAATGCCTTGCTGAAGTGGCTCCCACCTGGGTTGCTCACAAACAGCCTTCCACCATGCAAGCTATACCCTAAGTGTTTGTGTGTAACTGCAGCCTGCCAGTTACACCCTGGCTCTCACCAGCCTGGCTTATACTGCATGTGACCTCAACGCACTCCCAGTCCTGGATTTTTCCGTGGAAATATATGTCCTGTACTGCTCAACCTGCTTCTGGACAGTGCAAATATATTAAGTCCATTATTCCTTTAAGGCAATAATATGCCAGATCATTACCTTAAATGGAGTTACCCAGACACTTCAGCTTAATCACACTGTATTAGATAAAACAAGTTTATTAATTACAAAGAGATAGATTTTAAGTGTGTATAAGTAATGAGCCATAAAAGTCAGAAATGGTTACAAGAAAAAAACAGATAAAACGCTTACTAGTGCCTAATTTAACAAACTATACTAGATTCAAGCAAACTTTCTCACCACATGCAGGTTACTGACCAAACTCTTCAGGTCAGGACTCCTCCCTCAAAGGAGGGGGAGTCTCTTGAGGTGTGTGCTCCTTTTTATCGTTTCATTTCCTTCTTGAAAAACATTTCCAGCTGGGAAGTAGAAGACTAAGAGTCAGGGAAAGATGTTCCCTACTGTTTATTCCACGTGTGAGCGTCCATTGTTGTCCCTTCCTGCTTGGTGAGTGTTTACTGCTTAAATGCAAATTAAGGCAACCATATACTCGTTTGTTCAAGACAGGCCTTGGGTTTTGAACGTGCTCCCTTAATACCATACAAAGGAACCTTATGACTTCACATATGACGTTGCCACAAATTTTATCAGGACAATACTGACCAGCAAATTATGAGTTTTCAAATGATACCTTACAAGGCATACCTTAAACAAAGATTATTACAGTAGTGTGTAGGGTGTGAATACAGGGGAGTATGCCATCACAGTCATCTAGTCCTATCCCCTACACTGAGGCAGGACTAATAATAATAGTAGTAAAAGTAATATTAATAATAGTAAAGCTCTGTATGTAAAAGTAAAATTGAACCTCTTCACTACTTGCATTGAGTATAATGACCAATAAATGTGCTGCCTTTAACACATCTGCTCAAAGCGGGATGACATTTGAAGTTTTCTGCACAGTAGCCTTGTCCTGTATACATTGTATTTTCAAATCTACAGTTAGACTTTCTCCTTCATACTGGATTTAACCAATTTTAACTATGTAGGTTGGGGCTACAATTACAAGAATTAAATGAAGCCCCTCAAACTTGAAGTTTTCTGCCTTCATTACAAGCTAACCATGTGTTTGATTCAAACCCACAGAAGACAATAGAAAGATTCCCAATAACGTCAGTGGGCTTTGGACCAGGCCCCATATCTGGCTGAAGATAATGTATTCTCTCACTTCCAAGCCTGGGACTCTCCTCTTTTCTGGCTTTCTTCACTGTAATGCCAATGCTTAAATGAAAAAATAATTTGAGTTCTGGTGAAAGCAAATTTGTTGATTTCTGGCTACTAATATCTATAATAAAGTAACTTTTCCCAAATAGCAGTGACTTGCCATTCTTTGTACTAGTTTGACTTGTTTTCTGATTTCTCTCAGTCCATTTTGATCCTGCAGTTCATTTTTTCTGTTGAAGATTTGCAAGAGAGAAAGCTTACAGTTCCAAAAACCTATTCTAACTTTCTATTGGATGGCAGGGATAATTTGTATTTTCTCATCAGTATTGTATAAAAGTAAAACATCTCTAAATATGTTTTTGGTAAAGACGTCATGTAACTCCTTGGTGGCAACAGGATATATTTGATATGCTACTTTCCCCAGGTCTCCAGCAAGTTTGTCACTTGTCTAAATGCAATGCTTGAACTGCACCCTGGCACTTTGGTCCCCAATTCCAAAATGACTGGCTAATGCAGAGATTAAGGCTTGACAACTGGTTTCTGACAAACTGTATAGCACAGTAAATGTAGGTCCTTTCATAATAGCAACAAGAAATTGTGCATTTTGTTCATCAATGGAATGGTTCATTTGACTTATTTTTTCAAATTGGGCATAATAAGCTTCCCAGGATGATTTTCTTTCAAAGCTGCCTGGTCTTTGATTCTGTCGATTAACTGGCTAGGAATGTGTCTCAGGTTCCCAAGGGTGGAAGCTGGGTTCTGGATTCCATGGTGTGGAAGAATATTTTGACTGAAGAAGGGATTGGAGGTTCATATGTAGTACTTCTAATCTTCACTGCTCTTCCTCATTCACACTATTGGAACCCCAGTTGTCAGAAAACAACTGAACAGACTTGATGAATCCTTTTTGGGATTCCAAAGATAGGTGTCTCAAGCAGGAACTTACTTTACTCAGTTTCTTTTTAATTTCAGATAAATAAAGTGCTCAGATCGTGCTCAGTACCTGATGAGATAAATAAGTGCTCAGTTCTTTCTAAAAGTCCGACCTCTTTAAGGTGTTACAAGTTGAATAACCAAAAATGGAGGCACCCGAGGTCACTAGTCACTTCTGAAAATTGTGGCCTGTGGCTTTAAAATCACAGATGCACCTCATCTTTTGTGCTGCCTGCAACTGCACTTAAATGGAGGCCAGTGTTGATTCTGCCTCAGTCAATGACATACTGGGAAATCTAGATGCTCATGTTTGAAAATGAGGCTTCCCAATTAAACTCCTTAATATGACTATGAAGCATTGCTTCAGGCACCCTACCTTTCTGCTTTTGGCAACACTCCCCTCCTAAAATGGCCTACTGTGCAGGATACCAAAATCTGCCATTGCTCAGTGTTGAATGTATGCAATTAATTAATTGCTAGGTGTCTGCTCTAGATGTTAGGATGCTGAAGGTCAGATTTCAGAGGAACAGCCGTGTTAGTCTGTATTCGCAAAAAGAAAAGGAGGACTTGGGGCATCTTAGAGACTAACCAATTTATTTGAGCATGATTGTGATTGTGAGTGATCTAGTGCATGCACATGGAGTCAGGGATGGAAGAAGCCTTCCCTGTACGTAGGTCAGCACTTGGTTTGGATTGCAAATGGCGCTGGCCTCCAAAAAGGAGTAAAGGTAGAAGCATGAACACCTGGACCCCAGCAGAGCTGAGCATGTGCCTAGAGGACCATGTGCAACACCCTTTCTGGCATACTTTCCTTCAAAGACCCTAAGGAATTTTGGCTAAGTCACAATTCCACTGAGGAATCCCCTTGCTGCATGGCTCCTTGCAGCTAGTGGCTTAAAAGACAAAATCTCATCTTCTGTTTGCTCTGCTTTACTGAAATATAGTGTTGGTGTTGCATAGTATGTGCTGCCATAGAGGAGGTACATGGGGCAAATGCAATTAAAGATGCAATTGCAACCTAAGATGATGGAATACTAAGGCGGTATTTTTATATGCCAAAGTTACATTAAGTGACAAAAGAAAAGTGTAAATCATTTTGAACCCCCCCACCCCCAACACCTGTATTAAAAAGAGATTTAATGGGTGGATTATAAAATGTTTTATGAATGTTGTCTTCGTTATTTAAGTAGCTCAAAAGACTTCTAGGAATGGAAAAGGTGTAAGTTAAAATTGTAAATATACTGTGTTAAACCGACTTTGACTGTACTGTTCTACTTGCTACCACTTTTAATGACATGTTTAACTTCTATAGCCACTCAGGACTAAATGTTTGTGCTTCTAAGAAAAGCTTGTCTTGAGAGAACATATTTTAGTTGAATCATACTTTCAGATGCCATCTAGCCATTTCTTTTGTTCTGCTGATCTAATGAAAAAAAAAAAGACAATGTTGGCATAACATTGGAGAATCACTGCACTCGAGTGTGATTTTTATTTGAAAGTATTTATTCACTTGGGCTGAAAAATAGAAGTAATTTCTCAAGTACATATTTTGGAGAGAGCCAGGAGAACTCACTAACCCTGTCTGGCTTTTTAAAGCTTATCAGGTTTCCCTAGCAGCTTAATCAAAGTCAATTGGGAATTTTAAAGTGAGAAAAATTAGAACAGTGAAAATAAGAAGAAATCCTAGATGTGTGTAGGGCAATTCAGGATAACCTATGGGGCTTAATTACGGTCAATATTGATGAGTAGATTGGGTTGTGCCAAGGATAGCAAATATACCTTGGAACCTGCAACAGGGCAACCTAAGAGAAGGGGGTATGCGTCCTCTTGATCTTACTACCACATAACAACTTGTACATAAAGCCAGCAAAGTAAGCAAGGATGTAACCATGGATGCTCAAACAACTCTCCCCACCACTCTTTAACCTCTCCAGGCATGAGACTTGGTGTAAAAGCACAGATGGGCACATATCTCAGCACTCCCACATGTGATGGCTTGCTCATTCACTCCCGCCATGGGGAACCTTCTGTGGGGAAGTGAACAGTGTCCTTAGGCACCGAAGAGGACCCATCAGGCATGTGTGTGGAAAGAATGTGTGTGGGGCGAGCTGCTGTGCTAGAAAGATGGTTCCAAAATAGTTGGTTACATGGTCCCCGTATCTTTCATATTCCTGCAGGGCGCAAGGAAGAGTTATACTGCTGGACAGCTGAACTCCCTAGAGAGCAGCTTGTCTATAGGGGAAGCTTTCTGTTCTACCCACTAGTAAAAATTAAAGTCAGAGAAGTTACTCTGGATTTTTACTGCTATAGAGAGGTCAAAATCTGACTCTTTCTTACTTTGTCACAAGTTCATGCAAATGACCAATGAAAAGGAACAAATTAAGCTTGTTTAACTTTTATTTATATTACCACAGCACCTAGGAGTCCTAGTCATAGCCCAGGATTTCACTAGGTGCTGTACAAACACAGAACAAATGAGTGCTTATGTAGTTTACTTCCTTTTATCTCTCTGGCATCTTTCAGTGGTTTCTATGGCAAAAGAATTTTCAGGTCTAGATTTTTGGGGCCAGCTAAACTCTACTGCACTACCATCTTTGTGCCTATCCTGACCCTGGGGCTGGCCAGGGGCTAGTTACTTCTGAAGGAATTCTGCACCAAAAAATTAAAAATTCTGCGCACAATATTTTAAAATTCTGCATATTTTATCTGTCAAAATAACATAGTATAATCAGGCCATTTTCTGACAAGTATTTTGAAATAAATTACCAAAATAATTGAAAATGGTGTGATCATATTGTTATTGTGTTGCTGTGTTATTTTGACAAATAAAATACACAGAACTTTGCAGAATTTTAAAATTTTAATTTTTTTGGTGCAGAATTCCTTCAAGAGTACCAGGGTTCTGTGCAGCCAATCTGGGTGTGGGCAGCTTGGTGGGGAGGTCTGGGTATGGCGGGGAATCTGGATGCACAGGGGCTCGGTGCAGGGTTCTGGATGCAGGGGAATGGGACTTTTTGCAGGAAAGTCCAGGTGAAGGTGCTTAGGGCTCAATAAGGTGGGTTGGTCTTGGGAGGGTGGGGGGTCAGGGTGAAGCTGGTTGGGGCTCAGTGGGGTGGGAGTCTGGGGGAGTCCTGATGCAGGGGGGAGGCTTGGCGGGGGTTCAGGAGGTTTGGTGGTGGTGGGGTTTCTGGGTGCGTGGGGCTCCTGATGTGGATGGGGTTCATTGTGGGGAGGTTTTGGGTGCCCGGGAGG